TTAATCAAATATTAACATAAAATACTAACATAACCTGGCAAATGGTAGAAAAGTGTCATTTTGAAACTTGATAGATGGGAAAGTGTCATTTCACCAAACCTTGGGTGGAAAAATGTCGTTCTCCCTTCTATATCACCATCGGTGGCATCATAATCTATTTGTTTTTAAAATCTTGGGTATCCTCTATTTGACTTTTTATAGAGTTTCAATTTCAAATCTCTTTAAAATAAACCTGAATAACTTTTAAAACCACTCTACTTTTTAGTAGCGGATATCTCCAATTGAATAATGCGGTCTGCAAGTTTTTGTGTGTTTACTTTGAAGCCTAAATTTTTTTTTTTTTTTTTGTTTTTGTTTTTGATGATTTAGGGTGTTTGGTCAGTTTGTACACACCTCAATTAATCGTTCGGGATCTTGAAACTATCGGTCGGATAAAAGCTCTAGTTATCACCTCTATTAGCAATTATGAGGACCCAAAGTTAGATCTCCTCTTGCTCTTTGACCCTCAAGCAGACTCAAACTTAGAAGATCATGTTAGATGCCTTTTACTCTTTTACCATCGACCCTAGTGATGGTTATTTGAAGGCTAACATATGAAGCTTAAATGGTGAAGACATAATACTTTAAAGCTATCTATCAAAATCAAATCCAAATCTTTTGTATGTTAGGCATTGTGGTGGAAGCTTCTAGAGAACAATCAGACTAACTCACCTTTCTGAAATATATGCCATACTTGTCTTAGACCATCAAATATTTGACTGTCTACTGAAACATTATCTGATGCCCTACCTTAATTATGCAATTATGTTTTTACTATAAATAAGTGAAAAAAAAGGATGATATAGAGCTTATTTATATATATGAAGTTATCTTAGGACACATTAAAGATACTAAAAAGATATGTTTGCCATATAACACTACATCATGACTGAAATGTCATTCACCTCTTATAAAATACAAGTAGACGGCAAAAACTTTTTAGGTATGTACTTGAAATGCAAAATTAAAATCTCTCAGGTCAGGTGCATTGGAGATTTCCGGGTTGTACTGGATATCTTGGGTTCCAGTCCCCATTCATGCACCCGCGTAGTACATGGGGGTTCTGGTGGTAGGTTCCTGCAGTGCTCCCCGGTGAATAGGCTTGTTTGACTTGCAAGTGGACAGGGGATACCACGGTTATATTAAAAAAAATCTCTACGGTGTAGGAGTTTAAAAAAGAGAAAATATGTCAATAAGAGAGTATGACTAAATCAAATATTTGAGAAAGTAATTAGAACTATATTGACCACGACCTTTATTCAGGTTGGCCTAGAAGTTTCGAACAGTATCGACTATGGAGAAACAAACGTGATGATTCAAAGATATTTGTATACATATTTTTATTTTTATTTTCATGTTATTGTTTTGTAATATTTAATATACAACGTTTTCATCATCTCCCACAATTTCTATTACTTTATTAATAAGTTATATTATGTACAATCTCCCATTATTTTCATATTCATTATAATAATGATACACTTCAGTTACTATTAGGATTGTAAAGTTGGTGAGTTTGGTTATAAAAGTAGGTTAATCTCTATATATGACACATGACTACAAACTTGAATTGGGATCATGCTTGAAAATAATTTATTTTACGTGAATAATCCTTTTTTGCCTTGTTTTCGTTGTTATCACTTTCATATTTTCTTCTTAATGTATTACCTTGAAGATAACAAACAACTCTTTGTAATATATTGCTATGCCGGTTCACTTGGAAGTGAAATGTATAAAAGTAACATATTATTGGGCAGGACAATATTATGTTTACAACTCAATCTCACAAACTCTCTCTTACAAAAGTGACAACTCTTAGTTTTTTGCTGATGAATTTTTCAAAATTTAAAATTTATGAGCATAAAACTGAGGGTTATCACATAAGAGTTGTGAGAGAGAGTTTATGAAATTAGATTGTACGTCAATCTTTATTGTATTGGGTATATCTGCCGGGATTCTCTTTAGCTAATCCCTCGCCCTTATGGTATAGGTGTATCCACTTGTGCCTTAGCATCCATTAATGATAATGAATTGGGACAAAGAAATGGGTTCAGAGTCTTCAGAATAAAAGATTGATTGGGGAGTTAACAATATAAGAAGCTCAAAATCAAGGTGAGCCCAACTGAAGAAAACCAGCCCAGGTCCCAGGATAAGGAGTTGATATTGTGACATGGCAAGTCACAAAAAACATAGGAGTTCTATTAATAAATTCTAACTTGCTTTTTAAATTTTTTCCAAAATTACATATAATAGAGTAAATTTTTACCTGATTTTTAGAATTTTCCTTGGTAATACAACAGATAGTTTAAGTAAAAAATAGAACAGAGAGATTACTGCATTTTAATGTCTAATATTGTTGGATTCAATGTTCTTCATTCTCCAACTTGTCTCTCCTTGAAACAAAATAGTGCATAAAAACAAAGGCAGGTTATATAGTTAGAGGAGGGGGTGGAGGCATTACATATGGAAAGTCTTTTGATTCTTTGGTCGGAACATTCTTGTTCTTCTCACGAATCCTTCTAATAAAATCGGTAGCTTTTCTATTTATATCCTGCTCTTGTGAATTTTGGCTTCGGGTTCCGGCGGGAAGTTGAGCCATGGGTCTAACATCCATTATTGCAGCAATTTTACCACTCGCAGCTGCAGGAACTTGGCTTCTCTCAGCTGCTGCCGGCAATATGACTGGTGTTCTTAAACTCCAAGTTGCGAGAGAGAGAGATGATAATTTAACAATGCTTACAACCAACTTCATGGATTCCTCACACAGAGATTTCTTCTTGTTTCTTCTAGCCATTTTAGTCATAACAAATTATAGCAGGAAGAGTGTAGATGATAAATATAATATATATAGAAAAAAAAAAAAAAAAACCATGAATTAAACTAATGAGTGGAGTATTGTTGAAGTACGTAACATTGCTTTTGGAAAGTAGTGATGAAAAGGGGGCAAATTATTCCGCGGGGTTTCATAAAAGTTGTTATAGACTAAAGGCTTAACTAGAACAAAACAATGCAGAAGCTAGCTATTCCATTCCATGGGTCCATAATAATGCCTCAAGTTGAGGTCTTTTTCCACTAGAAAGAACGAGGAACAAAAAATAAATTAATGAAATGATAAGAGAAATCTACCATCATCATCTAACTGATCACTTTGTAGAATTTCATTTTATCACTTGTGGTCCAACAACTTTGTTTTGTGCAACATATGATGAGAACCACAATCAGTACCATTGCCAATGGAATGTGCAAACATATGCCTCATCAACACCACATGCAGCCTGCCTCTTGAAGCTTTAATTGCTTCCTGAGAGCTCTCCTTCACACATTAAATTAATTTGGTTAACGTTAATAATCCGATCGATAGGCAAAAGCTGATTGCCTCTGTGCATTGGATATATGCTTGGACTAGTACTCACTCAAAAAAATTGCATAAACTTTTTGACTTTTATATTCCAAATTTTGAGTGTGGAAATACAACACATCTTGAAATAGAACACTACTATATATATGATGAGAAGAGAAGAGAAATGGAGTTCAATGTCAACTTTCTGCCATATTCATGTTTGAATATCCGACAAAAAACAAAGCAAAGAACACTCACTAAAATGATTCTTACTCGTTAGTGTCTTGAGCTGTCTCTTTTGGCCAATAAATTGCGTATCATGGAGTTTGAACTTGCGTGTTGCTTTACTACATAATAGACAAGTTATTCAAAAGAGACTTTGCAGGATTCTTGTATTTGTGTAATGCCCTTTTCCCTTTTTTTCTAGACTTCTCTCTTGCTCTCCACTGCTTAGGAACAAGTTTTGGTTTGGTCCCATGTAAAGTCAAGTCTTTATGAGCCCATTTTTCTTATCAGAATCTTCCACAGTGTCATGGTCCCAATCTTGCTTCATCTGATAATCATCTATTTCTGTGATGCGACATTCACAATTCAGCCATTATCTTCTACTGTTGTCGTGTCGGCCATGCTTTATCGCCATAATTTAATTAAGCTAAGCACACTCTTAATTGCCAAATCTCTGTACAGTACTACAGTTTACAGGAAAACGCAGAAGCCACAAAAGGAATACACCAGTGGTGAAATGCAATTATGCAGTGTTGAAGGTCAATAGTACTGATGGTCACTGTTGAGAAATTCTACGCATTGCCCCACCAACAAATTTGTTCCATCAATTTAATTTACACGACCAGCCATCTTGGTTATTTTGTTGGATGCATGTGCCTTTAAATTGAGGGAAAAACATAATATTGGACACTTTGCCACTGGAGTGGAGTTTCCTAATTTGGACGTTTTCTTATCCAAACGATAAACGAGAGCTGCTGTGAATTGTGATAAATGAATATTTCTTGTGTCCATGCAATTCATGAATAACCACTCAATAAACCGTATTCTAATTATAGATGAATTTGTTGAATAAAAAATAAGTTTCAAATTTGAAACTGGGAGCGAGGGGTGTAAATAAAATACCTAATTATATTCCGAGGATTATTTTCGATATTAAATATATAAAAGAGAATGTATTTAACAATTAAAATTCCCTTATTTAAACTAATCGTGTGAATCACAAATTTATTAAGCCCTTGGGACCATCTGAACCTGGGCCTCACATTTGGTTAGACCATCGTAGCCCAATCCCAAATGAAAGGAGAATGATTGACTACCCCGCGATTGAAACTTAGAAAGCGATGGTGTTTGACCCGGAGGATAAAATTTGACAACAAAATTAAAGAAAATAAATTGGGTAAATGAGTTTTCATAATAAACAACAAAGATTCCATAAATGATGGTTGAATAACTCATAATTCTAATTAATTAAATTTCTTTACAATGAATTCGGTACTGGTCTTTAGACTAACAGAATTACTAATTACGTAATTTGTTCTCCAGAAGCTACAACGACATCGTATTGTATTAAACAAATGAAGACAAGCGAACATAGAATATCTACTGGTTCAGGCAGTCAAAAAAGCTACTATCTCTTCCTGTCCCTAAACGCAGTCAATGGCCGCCCAATCTTCCCATACACCTTTTTTTCTTCTGTTTTCATAACCTTAAACCACCCAAAATCTAATCCTATCTGCAAAACCGCTCAACACAAACCATGAAGATCCACTTAATCTTAGCTTTACTCTTGGTCTTAACCTCCTTTTCTGTTATTTTTTCCATTGAAGATGACGTGAAGTGTCTTGAAGGCATCAAGAACTCTCTCAAAGATCCCGAAGGAAAGCTCTCCTGGTCCTTCACCAACACCACTGTTACCTCAATCTGCAAGCTAAACGGCGTGTCTTGTTGGAACGAGAAGGAGAACCGAATCATCAGTTTGGCTTTGAGTTCAATGCAACTCTCGGGACAACTACCCGAGTCGCTGAACCTCTGTCACAGCTTGCAAACTCTAGATCTCTCAAATAACGATCTCTCCGGTCCGATCCCGCCGGAACTCTGCACATGGCTTCCTTACATAGTCTCACTTGATCTCTCAAACAATAAACTCTCCGGTCCCATCCCCTCGCAGATCGTTGAGTGCAAGTTTCTTAACAAACTTGTTTTAAGTTACAATAAATTGTCGGGTTCGATCCCGTACGAAGTGAGCCGGTTGGATCGGTTAAAAGAATTTTCTGTTGCGGGGAATGCTCTGTCCGGATCAATACCGTCTGATCTGGCGAAATTTAACGAAGATAGTTTTGATGGGAACAGCGGACTTTGTGGTAAGCCTTTGGGAAAATGTGGAGGGTTGAGTGGTAAGGGTCTTGGTATTATTCTTGTTGCTGGTGTTATTGGTGCTCTGGGTTCTGTGATTTTAGGGTTTGTGATTTGGTGGTGGTTTTTCGTTAGAGTTAGTAGGAAGAAGAGAGGGTATGGTGTTGATGATGCGAAAGATGAGAGTAGTTGGATTCAAGTACTGCGGTCACATAAGCTTGTTCAGGTTTCTTTGTTTCAGAAACCTATTGTTAAGATTAAACTGGCTGATTTGTTGGCTGCTACTAATAGTTTTAATGCTGAAAATATTATTATTTCTACAAGAACTGGGGTTTCCTACAAGGCCGTGTTGCCAGATGGCTCTGCCTTGGCAATTAAGAGGCTGAGTGCTTGTAAGCTTAGTGAGAAGCAGTTTCGGTCGGAGATGAATAGGTTAGGGGAGCTTAGACATCCCAATTTGGTGCCGTTGTTGGGATTTTGTGTTGTGGAGGAAGAAAGGCTTTTGGTGTACAAGCACATGCCTAATGGGACGTTGTATTCGCTGTTACATGGAAATGGTTTTGTTGAGAGTCAGCATGGTGTTTTGGATTGGTCTACTAGGCTTCGGATTGGTGTGGGTGTGGCGAGAGGATTGGCTTGGCTTCATCATGGGTGCCAACCACCCTATATGCACCAATATTTTAGTTCAAATGTGATTCTTATTGATGATGATTTTGATGCTAGGATAACGGATTTTGGTCTGGCAAGGCTCGTGGGTTCTCGTGATTCTAATGATAGTTCTTTTGTGAATGGTGATTTGGGAGAGTTTGGTTATGTTGCTCCTGAGTACTCTAGCACTATGGTTGCTTCACTGAAAGGGGATGTTTATGGTTTTGGAGTTGTGCTGTTAGAGTTGGTTACTGGTCAGAAGCCTATTGAAGTGAGTACTGCAGATGAAGGATTTAAGGGAAATTTGGTTGACTGGGTTAATCATTTAGTGATCAGCGGTCGAAGTAAAGATGCCATTGATAAGGCTTTATGTGGGAAAGGTAGTGATGATGAGATTACACAGTTTCTGAAGGTTGCATGTACTTGTGTGGTTCCTAGGCCTAAGGATAGGCCTTCTATGTATCAGATCTACGAGTCATTGAAGAGCATGGCTGAAAGGCATGGTTTCTCTGAACAGTATGAAGAATTCCCATTGATCTTTGGTAAACAAGATGCTGACTTTAAGGAGTAGCTTTGGTGGGTAAAGGACGAGAAGCACAAAAAATTGTAATCACTTTGAGCCTGGCAGCATACTAGGGCATTTCTAATTTGTATGCTATGTTATGGAATGCTTTCTCAGCAATTGGTATGGTTTCCACTTGAAGAGGATTCCTTGTTTTAGTGCTTATTTGTTTGATAATTCTGTATATTAAATGAAGTATTATGCTCTGTATTTCAGGAGATTCCTGTTATCAATTTATCATTATGGAAAATGCTGCTTCTGCATCCTTTTTATTTTTAGTGTGCTGTTTCTTATAGAGAGCTCTCCATTGATATTTCTTGATGATTATGATATCAAATTTCACTGAAGGGAATCAATTATGTGATTTTATTGGCGTGAATTTACTTCTTTGATGTTTGTTTCGCAAGCTTTGAGTGACTACTGTTGATCTATAATTCAAGCATTGTTCCTTGATGCCTCATGATTGAATCCAAGTTTCCTTAATGCCTGTCTTGAAATCCTACTGAGTTGAGTGAATTTTTGGTTGATAATGCACTGTGTTTTTTTCGGGTATTGTTTGTTCAATACTGCAGTGTTTTGGATATTTTTTTAATCAGCATGAATATCTGTTTCTTGATGTAATTCAAATGAGAGTGAGTTGCGGTTGGTTCGGTTAAATAGTTAAAAGGGTAGTCTATTTAGAAGTCAATCGGAGGAAGTATGCTAACTTCATTTTTGTTGGGGAAGGTGATAAATTACTTTCTTTCAACTTTTCTCAGGACATCTCAACGCAAGTGGTGTTTATATGCGTTAATCAACCTTGTCATTATTGCCCTGGTCTATCTCTTCCTGTCCCTAAACGCAGTCAATGGCCGCCCAATCTTCCCATACACCTTTTTTTCTTCTGTTTTCATAACCTTAAACCACCCAAAATCTAATCCTATCTGCAAAACCGCTCAACACAAACCATGAAGATCCACTTAATCTTAGCTTTACTCTTGGTCTTAACCTCCTTTTCTGTTATTTTTTCCATTGAAGATGACGTGAAGTGTCTTGAAGGCATCAAGAACTCTCTCAAAGATCCCGAAGGAAAGCTCTCCTGGTCCTTCACCAACACCACTGTTACCTCAATCTGCAAGCTAAACGGCGTGTCTTGTTGGAACGAGAAGGAGAACCGAATCATCAGTTTGGCTTTGAGTTCAATGCAACTCTCGGGACAACTACCCGAGTCGCTGAACCTCTGTCACAGCTTGCAAACTCTAGATCTCTCAAATAACGATCTCTCCGGTCCGATCCCGCCGGAACTCTGCACATGGCTTCCTTACATAGTCTCACTTGATCTCTCAAACAATAAACTCTCCGGTCCCATCCCCTCGCAGATCGTTGAGTGCAAGTTTCTTAACAAACTTGTTTTAAGTTACAATAAATTGTCGGGTTCGATCCCGTACGAAGTGAGCCGGTTGGATCGGTTAAAAGAATTTTCTGTTGCGGGGAATGCTCTGTCCGGATCAATACCGTCTGATCTGGCGAAATTTAACGAAGATAGTTTTGATGGGAACAGCGGACTTTGTGGTAAGCCTTTGGGAAAATGTGGAGGGTTGAGTGGTAAGGGTCTTGGTATTATTCTTGTTGCTGGTGTTATTGGTGCTCTGGGTTCTGTGATTTTAGGGTTTGTGATTTGGTGGTGGTTTTTCGTTAGAGTTAGTAGGAAGAAGAGAGGGTATGGTGTTGATGATGCGAAAGATGAGAGTAGTTGGATTCAAGTACTGCGGTCACATAAGCTTGTTCAGGTTTCTTTGTTTCAGAAACCTATTGTTAAGATTAAACTGGCTGATTTGTTGGCTGCTACTAATAGTTTTAATGCTGAAAATATTATTATTTCTACAAGAACTGGGGTTTCCTACAAGGCCGTGTTGCCAGATGGCTCTGCCTTGGCAATTAAGAGGCTGAGTGCTTGTAAGCTTAGTGAGAAGCAGTTTCGGTCGGAGATGAATAGGTTAGGGGAGCTTAGACATCCCAATTTGGTGCCGTTGTTGGGATTTTGTGTTGTGGAGGAAGAAAGGCTTTTGGTGTACAAGCACATGCCTAATGGGACGTTGTATTCGCTGTTACATGGAAATGGTTTTGTTGAGAGTCAGCATGGTGTTTTGGATTGGTCTACTAGGCTTCGGATTGGTGTGGGTGTGGCGAGAGGATTGGCTTGGCTTCATCATGGGTGCCAACCACCCTATATGCACCAATATTTTAGTTCAAATGTGATTCTTATTGATGATGATTTTGATGCTAGGATAACGGATTTTGGTCTGGCAAGGCTCGTGGGTTCTCGTGATTCTAATGATAGTTCTTTTGTGAATGGTGATTTGGGAGAGTTTGGTTATGTTGCTCCTGAGTACTCAAGCACTATGGTTGCTTCACTGAAAGGGGATGTTTATGGTTTTGGAGTTGTGCTGTTAGAGTTGGTTACTGGTCAGAAGCCTATTGAAGTGAGTACTGCAGATGAAGGATTCAAGGGAAATTTGGTTGACTGGGTTAATCATTTAGTGATCAGCGGTCGAAGTAAAGATGCCATTGATAAGGCTTTATGTGGGAAAGGTAATGATGATGAGATTACACAGTTTCTGAAGGTTGCATGTACTTGTGTGGTTTCTAGGCCTAAGGATAGGCCTTCTATGTATCAGATTTACGAGTCATTGAAGAACATGGCTGAGAGGCATGGTTTCTCTGAACAGTATGAAGAATTCCCATTGATCTTTGGTAAACAAGATCCTGACTTTAAGGAGTAGCTTTGGTGGGTAAAGGACGAGAAGCACAAAAAATTGTAATCACTTTGAGCCTGGCAGCATACTAGGGCATTTCTAATTTGTATGCTATTTTATGGAATGCTTTCTCAGCAATTGGTATGGTTTCCACTTGAAGAGGATTCCTTGTTTTAGTGCTTATTTGTTTGATAATTCTGTATATTAAATGAAGTATTATGCTCTGTATTTCAGGAGATTCCTGTTATCAATTTATCATTATGGAAAATGCTGCTTCTGCATCCTTTTTATTTTTAGTGTGCTGTTTCTTATAGAGAGCTCTCCATTGATATTTCTTGATGATTATGATATCAAATTTCACTGAAGGGAATCAATTATGTGATTTTATTGGCGTGAATTTACTTCTTTGATGTTTGTTTCGCAAGCTTTGAGTGACTACTGTTGATCTATAATTCAAGCATTGTTCCTTGATGCCTCATGATTGAATCCAAGTTTCCTTAATGCCTGTCTTGAAATCCTACTGAGTTGAGTGAATTTTTGGTTGATAATGCACTGTGTTTTTTTCGGGTATTGTTTGTTCAATACCGCAGAGTTTTGGATATTTTTTTAATCAGCATGAATATCTGTTTCTTGATGTAATTCAAATGAGAGTGAGTTGCGGTTGGTTTGGTTCGGAGTTGTATCAAATAGTTAAAAGGGTAGTCTATTTAGAAGTCAATCGGAGGAAGTATGCTAACTTCATTTTTGTTGGGGAAGGTGATAAATTACTTTCTTTCAACTTTTCTGAGGACATCTCAACGCAAGTGGTGTTTATATGCGTTAATCAACCTTGTCATGCATTTTATTTCATTAACATAATGTTGTAAACAATGCCATGGTTGATTTTAATTTGCTTTAAGCTGTGCAAATGGAGCTTGAAAAAACTATCGTCAAAGAACATTATGGAACAAAGGCACTCTATCTCCAATCATTTAAATAATCAAAATTGAAAGACACTACTTCATTAAATATTGATGAGGGGAAAAAAAACAAAAGAAGCAAAATAGTCAACCTAGATGAATTTGCGCGCCCTAGTATGCTTTCATAAAGATATTGGGACATTTCACTTCTTTTTAAATTTATTACAGACAAAATGAGTTGACATGATTACTTGTAAAGCGTAAAGCCGTTTGCTATGGTGTTTACTGGGCAATTAATCTGTTTCGGGTTGCAAATTTTTTCTATATCTGAACTGGGCTCTAAAGAATTGTATGAGTAGCTGAAGGCATACAGGATTCCCGTGATGCTAATAAATAGCAGATTGATATTCAGAGGGGTGGTTGGGAGCATGAAATGGTGGTTTCTTTGGGCAAACCGGTCATGTGGAATTGAAGGAAAATGAAATGCAGATCTTTCATGAATGGCTTTTATGTGCCTGGTCAAGGAGCAATGCTTTTGTCCTTTGAATGCATAACCACGTGCTTCTGACCCCACTGCTCCCCCTTAGCTGGATTTTGAATTCAATTTAAAATTGGGGTGGTGGTAAGTTTGGAGCTCCTGATATGTGTGAATGCATTCAATGATACATTCAAGATGCATGGTAAATGTATAGTATATAGGCAGGGGAGGTTCTAGATATTTTAAAGACCTCCCCTCACATTTAGAAAATTAATCACGTCTCTCCCATTGACCAAACGCTAACTAATGATGGGAAAAAGGGGTCGTTTGCTAGCTATTTTTGTTTTTCTTTTTGAAAAAGAATTAGAAAAATGGCAAGAAGCAGGGTCATTTTTGACATTGTCTCTACCACGCATAGACAATTAGACATCACTACTCGAACTAATAGACGTATTTGAAGAAGATTATGTGTCCTATCTTATAATCGGTGTCGTGTTACTTAAAGTAAATGAATTCATTGGACTTCAATAATAAAAAATGACAAGTAATGATTTATTCTCACCACCATCCTACTCCTCGTGGGCTAGTGGACTCAATTTTTTTTCCTTTTAATTTGGTTTTTTATTTTTATTTTTTCAATCAAACTGTATTTGTATTAATGTTTCTAGATTTGACTCCACTCATTTTATTTTTCCCTATTTCATATTATATATATTTTGAATTTATCCCCTCTAAAGTTAATCATGGCTCCCTAAATACCATCACTAAAGTTAATCATGAGTCCCTGAATACCATCACACTCTCTTATCTCAAATCTATTTTCAAGTATAATTTTAGTCTTTGTCACCAAATTTTGCATTTCAATGCCCATCGGAATTTGAATAAATAAGTTTGAGCTCAAGTAAACTTAGCAAATGTAAACTTTGAACAATATTAGTGTTGTGATTTGTATTTTTTTTTCCCCTCATTTGATGTGTAATATGTAATAATACAACCATTTAAAATTGTAGCTAATGAGTTAGTTAGAATGTTAGTTATATAATAGTGCATTCCATTTTTTTTTTTCATTGAAAAGCAATTCAAATTCAATAATTATAGCTAATGAGTTAGTTAGAATGTTAGTTATTTTAGTTAAGGGGAGGTAGGTATGAATTTATGAAATACA